ACTTATTGAATTTAATAAACCGAGTTAATTTAATAATGGAAGTGTCAATCATTTATAAAGAAAAAAAGGACCACAATCAACCAAGGAAAACATGAAGCACCCAAGATATCAATCTTGACAAGTGTTCCCACCCCAAAACAAAAGCAAATAAAAAGAGATGCAAAGAACAGAACATAAGCAAGAAAAAATAGAAGAAGCTGAAGCATCTGATAACCACATTAAAAATAAATAAATAAGAAATTACAGACCATAAACATAGCCAAGCAAGCTACAGAAAGCCTCTAAAAAACTCCCCAAGCAAAGGCATCCAACACAAAACAATGGAGATTGATAACCCATATGCAAGCCCAAGACAGACGCAGCAAACGAAAGGATGAGAAGCTCTGCAGAGCGTCAAAAAACCTGTAAAAAAGATGCATAAGAAAAGGCATGGTCAAAGGACAACGAAGAATAACTGAAGAGTACACACCAGAAAAGAAAAGGAAAAAAAAAAAACTTAGAGGGTAGCAACAGGAGTCCAAACAACAAGAGAGAGAACAAGTAAAACCATTGAGCGCTGCTCGAAAACATCTTGAAAACAGACCCCTTTTTCAAGGAAAAAAAATTGTTATATAAAACCCAATTAATATGAATGCATGAAAGAAAGTAAGGACAAAGTCTGAGCAAATAATACCAAAAAACCCTTGTAAAGGACATAATGAAATGATGGCAAAATCATAAAAACCATTATTGTCAAATAAAAAAAATTCCAAACCCAAAAAAACACATAAGGCCAAGATAGTGGCAAATTGGTTGTATATTAACTTATTAAATTTACAATTCAGGTTATAAAATAAAAATAATTTATTAAAAAATAAATTTAATGTTAAAAAATCTATATACCGGATCTAAGATCAAGATAACCTCCTATAAATTTTTTTTTAAAAAAATACATAATTTAACCATGATTAAAATATCAAAATTTATGACCTTAAACATGAGATCAATATATCCTCATAGAAAGTAAATCGAAATAAATTATAAAACTCAATTCTGAATTAATCCAATATTAAATAATGAGAATGAAACAAAAAATCAATTAAAAAAAGGATACAAAAAATAACTCAAGTTAACTCGGGTTAAATTGTTAAAAATTATTCTCGAGTTATTGTGCTAGAATAACCTTATACAAAACAAACAAACAAATTATAACTCTTAATTCTCAATCAACTTAATATTCAATGATGAAATTGAAAAACAAAAGTTAATTAAGAAAAAAAAACTTGAGTAAACCGGGTTAACTTGTCAAACCCATAATTTATGTCATGAAAGTGAGATAACTTAACAAAAACAAATCTAATATTAAGTGATAATTTTTTTTAAAAAAACAAAGCATTATTCTAATAAATAGTGCTTTGTCAGGAGAGTTATAATAAAAACCCTTTTTTAATTAAAAAAAATATAAACTCGTGATTCGTATCATGAAATTGGGGTAATTTAATAAAAAAATAAATCTAATATTAAATAATAAAATTAAAAAAAAAAAACAAATCACTATTCTAATGAATAATGCTTTGTCACAAGGAGTACAATAAAAACCCTTCTTCAATTAAAAATGGACATAAAAAATAATTTGAGTTAATTCGAGTTAATCCATTAAGTATTATTATTAGGACATAATATCAGAATAACCTGATAGAAAATAAATAAAGCAAATCATGAAGTCTAATTCTCAATCTACCCAATATTTAAATGATGAAATTGTAAAGTAAAAGTTAATTAAAAAGGGGAAAAAAAAGGCTAAACAGAATAACCTGTCAAACTCGTGATCTATGTCATGAAAGTAAGATAACCTAATAAAAAGATCTAATATTAAATGATAAAATTAAAAAAAATAATTAAAAAATATCAAATAAGAAAAAAAAAGAAACAAAATACTATTTTAATGAATAACATTTTATAGGAGTAGTATAGTAAAAACCCATTTTCAATTAAAGAAAATACAAAAATGATCATAGTCAATTCGAGTTTACACATTAAATACTATTCTCGGGTCATGATATTAGAATAACTTAATAGAAAATAAATAAAACAAAATAAGAAAAAAGAAAGAAACAAAGTAGTATTTTAATGGATAGCACTTTATAGGAGGAGTATAGTAAAATACCCATTTTCAATTTTAAAAAAAAAGATACAAAAATGATCCAAGTCAATTCGAGTTTACACAATAAGCACTATTCTCAGGTCATGATATCAGAATAACCTAATAAAAAAATAAATAAAACAAATCATGAAACCTAATACTTAATTAACTCAATACTAAATGATAAAGTTAAGAAAGAAAAGTTAATTTAAAAAAAATAGAATCAATCAAGTTAACCATCAAGTTCATAATTCGTGTCACAAACATGAGATAACAAAAGAAAAAAAAATCTAACATTAATTAATAATATTAAAAATAAAACATTGATTAAAAAAAGAATTAAAAAAACAAACAAACAAAACACTATTATAATGAAGAGTACTTTATGAGGAAGGGTATAATAAAAAACCTTTTATTTTTTAGTTTTTTTTGTTAATTGGTAATGTTAATGTTAATGATAATTTTAATTAATTTTATTTTAATTAAATTAACAATAATTGTAGAACGAGAAAAGTTAAACCATGTGGAAAAATCATTAAATGTATAATTTATTTACTATGGATTGTATTGGTGAAATAACAATTATTCCCTTGAAAAAATTTCTTAGATCTCTACTTTTTTAGAGGTAAAATGATATTTTTATTTGGTTTATTTGTTATTTAGGAATTGTTCTGTCATTATCTTTTCATTATGCATTTGTGTAGTAAAATAACTATGTTACTCTTAAAATTAAAAAAGTTCATTTAACTATGGTAAATGGTATTTTCGGGCATTTAACTTTTTTTGCCACAACATAATGAATCTACTACCTTTGGATTAAAATTTTCAAAAGCTTGGCTCGAGGGGCTGATTCATAATTGCATGATGGTTTTTTTGTAATAATATTTGGGTCGTAAGCATAGAATTGTATTTTAAGAAAAAGAAGAAGAAGCTGAAAGTTGTTGATACATGCATTGAATATGTTAGTGCCTCAGCTGCTCCATTGTTTTTATAAGGCATGTGCGACCGGCTCTAATTGTCAAAAATTTGATTTCTTCGTGTCATTCAATTGGTCGTGGTCTCCTTTTCCTTCATATATAGCTCATGTAATTGATGTACCTCCGATATGTCCCCATGATCCTTTCTCTTCCTTCTCTCTTTCCACCTAGAAATTCATGCATAACCCTCCATATTTTTCACGTCAACCCTTCAAATTAATTTTTCTCTTATTTTTCTATTTGTTTTATTTTTATTTATTTCTTGATTTTCTTTTTTTTTTCAATTATATCTTCATTTAATTTTTTTTATTAGATTTGGTCATTGTTCTTTTAGTTTCTTTTTCTATTTAAGATAGTTTTTTATTTTTTTTCAATTTCACCCCTTTATTTTTTTCTCATTTCATATTTGATGTTATTCCTTTTTTTTTCTCCATGGTTATGTTTTTTAATTTCTTTTTTAATTTTATCATTTAGCATTAAATTATAGTTGAAATTCTTAGTTAAACTCGGGTTTTCAATTTCACAAGTTGTGAATCTGAAATATTAACTATGGATTGGAAAATTTGTCTAAATCAATTAGTATGGGTTGAAATAGTTAATTTACCAGTTTTTCCTATAATAACTTTAACACTCGCACTCCTTCAATTATTGTGAATTAACTTCTTCTTTTTTAATCGATCGAGGTTACTGCTATTTGTTTTTGTAAGGTTAAATTATTATAACACCTATATATATAAAGAAACACTTAACTTGGATCTAAGGTTTTTTTTTTTAAAATTTCACTTTTAAAACTTGATTTCAAGGGCTTAATCATCAACTTTGGAGCAATTTAGTTTTTTTACTTAATGATGATAATAATTAAATAAACTATTTTATTTTTTCCCATTCCATGGATCCATGTTGAATTGGTTGGATACTAAACTTCACGAGTGCTTTTTTTTCTTGTTTTATACAAGGTTATCACGGTTTCTAATAAATATTTATTTTATAATTGTTACTTAAAATTACAAGCATCTAATTTTTACCATGTAATTAAGTAATTTTTTTAAAAAAATTATTAAACATAACTAAGTTCATAAATCAAGTCTCTCATGTGACCCGAGTCATATAATATACCATTATCTTAATATATTTTTTTAAAAGTTGATTAGTGTTTTTACCAGCTATATAGGTTTCTTTTGAACCTAATAAATAAATTCATATTGAATTATCTATCATAAGATTTAATTAAAAACTTACACTAACTAAGGATCCAAATTAAAGAATTTCAAAATTTATCTTTTTATTGAAATTTAATAATATTAAAAAAATATGCACTCTTAATATTATTTTTTATTTTTAAAAAGTTTAATTTGATCTACGACAAAAAGACAGGTCAAAAGACTCATTATAATAAAAACTAAATGATATAGGGAAATCTAACTTTCTTCACTAAATATTATGAATTGTTATAATGTTTTTTTATATTATGTTTTTTTTACACAATTGTTTTTGTTGATTTTATTTTTTAATATTGAAATAATTAAAAATTTAGTTTTATATTTTTTTCTTTTTATTTTATCTTTCTACGAGATTAGTATTGTTTGCAAGTTTATCAAGGTAACTTACCCTAATATATGAAAAACTAAGTTATATTTTTATCAATAATTAAGATTGTATTTGGACCTATAAAATTAATTAATTTAAATTGAGTTAACTTTTATATAATTTAATTAAAAACTTGAATTAAATAAAAAATTAAAATCAAGAAATTTTAATATTAATCTAATAATATTATTAAAAAATTATCCATCCTCTTAATTTTTTTTTACATTAAAAAAAATTGATACAATTTATAAGGAAGCACGAACAATATAGCAGTAAAATTGAAAGCAGAGGAGAGGAGGTTGACAAAATCAAGCTTCCAAAAACAGAAAAAAGAAAAAAGAAAAAAGAAAACTCTCCTAAAAAATATCTACACCCTCGAAGGCTGAAACGGTGAAACCTCTTCTTTCTGTTTCTCAAAATCTAGAAGAAAGTAGAGCAGTGAAGGCATAAGCATGAGCATAGCTTCGCTATCATCAGTATCAGTGGACATGGCCACTACTTTCGTCTCTTTAACTTCCCATCATCCCACCAGAATCCTCCGCTCCACTCTACTCCCTTTCTTACTCAAACCACAAAAAACCCATCAATCCCTCCTCAAAACTACTCTCTCCCTCCAACGCCGCCGCTTCTCTGTCTCCTCCATCGACACGACCTCCTCTGCCCCTCAGACCGACGATTCCGGTTTAACCACCAAGATTCCTTCCGATAATCGCATTTCTGCCACCATTATCACCGGTGTTTTGGGCTCTGGCAAGGTCCCTTTTGTGTTTTCTTTTTTTGTTGCATTTTGATTGCATTTTTTGTGTAATTGAGGATTAAAGATGCGCTTTTTTTATTCTTGTTGTTGTTTTGTGGTCATTACGTATAACAGACAACATTGCTCAATCATATTTTGACTGCCGACCATGGGAAGCGCATAGCAGTTATTGAGAATGAGGTACTCTTGTCATCTTTCAGTTATTCTTTTGCATCCCATTCACGAGTATGAGTAAAAGGAAAAAAAAGAAAGAATCTTCGTGATGGTTTTCAAGCTTTTGTTATTATTTTTGTTATTTGATGCTATCATTTATTGAAAATTTAAGTGGTTATGCTGAATTTTCAGTATGGTGAAGTTGACATTGATGGGTCTCTTGTTGCTGCAAAAACAGCTGGGGCTGAGGACATTATAATGCTGAACAACGGTTGTTTATGCTGTACTGTAAGGGGTGATCTTGTCAGGATGATTTCAGATTTGGTTAACAAGAAGAAAGGAAAATTTGATCATATTGTAATTGAGACTACGGGTAGGTAATCATTCAACTTTTCATTTCTCTGTGTCGAATGACTGTTCAAGAATGTAGTATACTGTTCGGCATCTGAAATTAGTTCGCTTTCTAGTAAGTGTGTTGTTCATTACAAATCTTATATGCAACTTTGCAGGGCTGGCAAATCCAGCACCAATCATTCAAACTTTTTATGCTGAAGACCAGGTTTTTAATGATGTCAAATTGGACGGTGTTGTGACTTTAGTTGATGCTAAACATGCTCATTTGCATCTTGATGAGGTTAAGCCAGAGGGAGTGGTGAACGAGGCAGTGGAGCAAATTGCTTATGCTGATAGGGTTATAGTAAATAAGGTACTTGTGATTTTAAGTTATATTGTTGCTTAAATTTGACCTTGTTAGACTTTAATCTGCTCAATTTACAATGACAATACTGCTAAGTTCAATCAGTTCAACTCATATTCCTTATAAAGATTTTAGTATATTCATATTATTATCTGTGTTTTGTTTCAAATTGCTTTTAGTTGCTTTATTAGCTGGTATAAAAACTTTTGGGCTGTTCCCCCAAAAACTTAAAATCCAAATGCTTGCAGGTTCCTTCTAATGCTTCTTTAAAGAGGGACTTAACTGAATGAATGAAACCCCTCTTATATAAATGTATGACAATGGTTAACTTTTCATTTAGGAAATCCTGGTGCGGGTTGCAAGTTTGAAGTCAGTTATTAACTTTTTGGTCTATCACTGACTCATGTGATTACTTGTCTTTTTGCCAGACTGATCTTGTTGGTGAGCAAGAAATTGCTTCTTTGGTGCAGCGGATAAGGGCTAGTATCTTGCTTCTTTTCTTTTGCTTTTTTCTTAATTGTTCAATTCTTTTTGAGTACTGATGGGAGTCTCTGAAGGCAGAACATCAATCGTATGGCTAATTTGAAGTGTACACAATATGGAAAAGTTGACTTGGATTATGTCCTTGGCATTGGAGGCTTTGATTTGGAGAGGTTATGTTCAGCTCTCATTTCCTAGTTTCTACATATGAATATTTGATTGACACCCCCCTCCCCACAAAGAAAGACTTAATTTCTTGATTATTATATTGAATGTTTTCTGTACTTTGCTCTTGCTAGAGGAGTCTGTTTTGTGCGTTGAACTTTATTTTTTAATGAACGTATCCATTGAATTCAACCCCCATGCTTGTTAAATTCTTACATATGTATTGTGCTGCTGATTTATACTTTCTGTGTTGACACCAATGCTATAATGTGCTAGGCATTGCATTTAGATACACTCCCTCTTTCACATCCCTCTCCCCTCTTCTCCTTTCATGTATTCGTTTTTTGTTTTCCATTGCTGGGAATTGGGAGCATGGAGGGGAGGGTGCCCACATTCTGTATCATAAAAACAAATTAGGTTACTCAACTTTATTCTATGAAATTCCAGGTTTATGTCTGATTTGGAGCTGTAGTTGACAGTTGACAGTTGACACTGGAGTCATTTTTATAAACATCTATGAAATTACTCACACTTGGAAAACTAGTGCTACATAGTTGAAAGCAATAATGAACAACCAAGAAAAATCTTGAAATTTACTAGCAACAAGTTCTACATGGGAACCAGAGATCTAATTGCAGCTGTACCTATCAGAAATCTCTTAGATATAATTTGAGAAAGAAATAGAGACCCCAATTCTCAGCTATAATTTGAGATCCTATTCAAACCTAAAAAAAGAGCTCCATGCATCTGAAGTTGGAAGTTTACATAGTATTTTTTGGTTGACTTCTAAAGTTACTGGAATCCCATGTTAATGTGGATACCAAACTAATCCAATTATAAGCCTAGTAAAAGCTCATAACTATGGCTCCTTCCAATTTTTGGAGATTACAGGGGTACCCTGTCCACTTGGAAAACATGAAAAACTTCATTTTTTTTTTTTACAAATTCATAGAAGTGTAGGTCCGCTTCTTTGCGACATGTCCTGCATTATGCTATATGGTATTCAACTATTTGTGCAAAAAAAAAAAAAATTGAATGCTTTGAATTCTTTTTTTGTTACACTGTTTCTGGAAAGAATCAAATTTATTTAAAAAGAATTGAAAAAGGATTATGAGCTCTATTTTCATCATATGTTGGGGGCCTAAAGAACTGAACCCTTTGCCCACAGGACAAAATTCTCCTGTCAAATATTAGTCTCATAAGAGTTTTTATTTTCTTTTTGGATGTAAATCTAATTATATCTGAACATAAAAGGAGTTGAAAGTATTTATGCAAAGAGAGAAAAATGATGCAAAAAGTTGCCATGATTGTAGCGCATCTCTTTTGCCACTACATGTCCCTAATATATTTGCAGTGTTGTGTACTGATATTTTGAGGAGTTAAAACTGCATTAAAAGTATTTGGGATTGCAGCTGAGTTAGCGAATCACAGTTTTCCCAAAAACAGATGTTTTGCAAAGTTCAATCCGAAACATATCTTGGGTCATGCTATTCAACTAGATCGTTTGGGGGAGAGCCCAGCTCATATAAATTATGGTGATCTGTGCACAGATAGACAGTACATTAGGGTGGCTTTTCGTGTTATGATTTTATCAAAATATCAGCGATAGGATATTCAGTGATGACACTATTTCTTGTACTTGACTTGAATGTTGGTGGGATTTGTTGTAGCTGGAAAAATAACGCGGAGATTTCGTTGCGATAGCATATGCTTTTACAAAACTTTTCTATGCTTGGAAAGTTCTGTTGTTGATTCATGTTATGGTTTTATTAAATAATGAGTTAATTATGCTTTCCCAATGACCTGATTCTCAGTGCCTTGTTAATGTTCCTTCTTTAGTAGCATTATCATTAAGTGAACCTGTCGTTATCCCTATTTCCTATCTCTTTCCTTTCTGTGTACTTCTATTTTTCTTGCTGAAATAGACATTTGCTGTTCTAGAAGTGTCGGGTCACTTCTGAGATAAACTACAAAATCTGCAGTTTTTGTCTAATACTTGCTCCTCTTCTCAGGATTGAGAGTGCTGTCAATGATGAAGATAGAAAGGAAGATCATGCCAGTCATGATCACAATGACAACCACAGCCACAATCATGCTCATGATCATGATCACCATCATCATCATGATGAACATGACCACAATCACAGTATTTCTTCTCTTCATTCACAATGGCTGTACTTAACTTAAAACAGCATACACAAATTGTTAGGTGCTGTTCTATTTTAGTGGAGAAAGCATCTGCTTGTCCCAACAAAAGTTAACAAGGTTCTTACTGGAGAAACATTTTGTTACGTAACTTGAAACTTGATTCGTGTTTGTTCTGGAACATGGAAAAATTTGAATTTTTTGTGGTGGCTAGTTAGATGATCTCATATGGTGAAACCTTCAAGTAAAATAGCAAACATGAAATGGATAAAGATTGATACATTTCTGATTAAACACTTTTTGTTATGTTTAATGGTTGCATTGGGTGATATTATTCAGAATTCACAGTCCTTCTCTCCAAGCTCCTTTTCAAGCTGTTAAAAGTAGCCAAAGAAATTTCTACAGCAATGTATTTAGAATTTAACACCAATTTCATGTATTGTTGAAAGTCCATTTATCACTAAGTTTAGCAGCGACATTTAAACTGACCTTTTTATGTGGGTCGTACTTGTACTCTCTTGTTACTAATGGAAATATTTACCAACAAATTATCCTATTAGTTGGCTGATAAAAAGAATAGAAAAAAGAAATGAAAGAAACCTCTGCCTGTGCCCTGTAATTATTTACCTGGAGAAACAGTTTTTTGGTACCTTTCATGTTTGGCACACTTTTTCCATGTTTAGAGCTCTTTTCCTCTTGCAATTTGTCATTGTGGCTAAAGCTCTAATGATAGTGTGCCTACTGGCCTATACATTTATGACTAGTTTCTTTTTTGGTTGTTCATGATCATAATTTGAGTTTTCGAAAATGCCTGCAAATTTTAGGTATTTTATTGATTAATTCTGCTACCCAACTGTGATAATTTTATGGCTGATCTTAGCTTGTGGATTCTATCATGCAGATCATCATGATGGTCATCATTCCCATGACCACACTCATGATCCTGGTGTTTCTTCTGTCAGCATAGTCTGTGAAGGGAGCCTAGATTTAGAAAAGGTAGGTTTTACATGTGGATTGTTCAATTTCCATGATGCACCTGAGAATTGCAGAACTCTACATATATGAAATAACCTCACATGAGCATTTCTAGCTGTTCTATAGTTGCTCATCTTCGTGTTTGATTTATTTGCCTTGTAGCTAGGAAGTGTAAAAACTAACAATATTGGATAGATGTGACCACTGTATTTCCACATTTTCAGGCCAACTTCTGGCTTGGTACTTTATTGATGGAGCGTAGTGAGGACATATACCGAATGAAAGGTCTATTATCTGTTCAGGGGATGAACGAGAGATTTGTATTCCAGGTGAGCTAACAAGTTCCAAAGTTCTACTTTCATTTTGATAAAAGAAAGTTTGTAATGGCTCATTTGTGTTCCATAATGTCCTATTTGGTTGTTTAAAATGATCACTTTTTTTTTTTGAGTTAAAAACAATCACCTTTAGTTAATTGCTAGTCAATGTTGATAAAATACAGCATATGGCTATCAAACAACATTAATATGCTAATGTGTAGATTCTTGAAAAGGTAGGACCTTGTAATGAAATATTCTTGTTTTGTTATTTTGTCATGCATTTTTTAATTGTTGAAGTTTATTGTCACCTGTGTTAGACAATTAATTCTGGGTCGCATTTCCAAAGGTGAAATGTGTGTTTTGTAATCCAAATATGGATGTGGGTCCCTTGATGTATTCGTGCTATATAGTTCTCTATTAGTTGTTGCTAGAAGATCTATTCAACATAAAATGATTTTGTATGCTGGTGGTAATAAAAGACAAGGCACATTCTTGCTTGACATCTCAGTTCATGATGTTATTCAAACTTAAGCTAGCTTAGGGGTTATATGACACCCTTGTAGGAATGGTATATTGACGCAATATAGCATGATTAAAGTTAAGGTTCTCAAGCCCTAAGGTTATACACCTATACTATAGAGAAATTTAGAGAAAACTCTCTAGTGTTTTATTAAAATCTTAATAATAATTATCCTCTCAAAATAAATTAGACATCTCTAGTTGTATTAGTCTTAAAATCTTTTATGGGAAAAAATTCCTAATTAAAACTAAAATCCTTTATAGAAAATGATTTTTAATTAAAACTTACCTAATTAATAAAATCTATCTAACAGTAGGATTCTTAAATACTAATTAAAAACAAATAATTAAAATCCAAAATCAACCAGGAATATAATTAAACAACTTCAAACTTCATATTAGATGCTTTCGAGTTTCTTCATGGACTTCTCTTCAAGCTCGGTTTTGTCTATCTGATTCATAAATATAGTTGTAACACACTCCACGTTAGTCCCCTCTACTTGTGAAAGACTTGACCTCGAGTCATCTCCAAGCTCGGGATATAAAGGCTGATCATCATAGAAAAGATAAGTGTCTGACGCATTAAAAGTTCTGGAAATACCCATATTATTAGGTAAATCAATAATATAAGCATTGTTACTATTTTTCTTCATGTTGATGCAAGGACCATATTTCTTATGTTGTAGTTTGCCATATGAACCCACCATAAATCTTTCTTTGTGAATGAACACCATCACGTTATCTATTTCCTTGGACACTTTAGCACGACGATACCTATCAACGACTTTTCTTATTTGGTGTTGGTCTTTATCAATTTCTGCTTCACATCTTCCATAATAGCTTAAGCATCCATAACCATCTTCTTAGCAGCCACACTAATCCCAACACCTATATAAATTGGCACAAGATCTTGCAAATGTTAGGACATTGTAGACACACAATCTTACATTGTAGATACACAATCTTGAATGGTGATTTACCTGTGACACCGTTTTCTAGCATTGTTGAATGCAAATTTTGCTTGTGCAAGGGCATAATCCCACTGTTTTGCCTTGTTTCCATAACTGCTTCTCATCAATTTTCCATGTGTTTGATTTAGCGACCTTGTTTGCCCATCTTTCTATGGATGTGCTGTGCTATTGAACTATTGAAAAATCATACAATTTCCATAATGTACGTCAAAAGTGACTAAGAAATTTATTGTCCCGGTCAGAAGTGGTCTTCGGCACCCCATGTAAACAAATTACCTCTTGAAAGAAAAGTCGAGCAATAGCAGACACATCATTTGTTTTTTTGCAAGGAATAAAATATGTCATCTTTGAGAACCTATCAACTATAACAAATACAAAATCCATCCCCTATTGTGTATGAGGTAATCCAAGTACAAAATTTATAGACAAGTTCTCCTGTATGTTTTTAGGAATAGTCAAAGGCATATATATAGACTTGTATTTTGTGCTTGTCCCTTAGCAGTTTGACAAAGATAACATTTTTGCATAAATTTACCAATATCTTGCTTCAAGTGAGGCCAATAATATTTGTCAATGACTACATCAATAGTCATTTGTAGCTCTAAGTGACCAGCCAAACTTCCTTCATGCAAATCCAAAATCACTTTCGTTTGCAATAAAGATCGAGAAATGAAAGTTGATTACTTTTTATTAGAAATTCATCATAAATGTGAAAGTCATCAACAAGCAGATTTTGGCACTTCTTTAACATCTTACCAAAATCCTTATCATGCTCCTAAAACTCTTTCAAATAGTTGAATCCAATGATCTATCTTGGGCAACCAAGAAAGCTGTTTTTTTACTCGAAGCATTAACGACTCTATTATGAACTTCAGCTTTGTACACAATTCTGATTGAAACTGTTAAAGTTAAGTGACTAATCTTGCATGCATGTGATTACTTATTCTCCTTTGATTATGTAAAAATCTTAGAGCCTTATGGTTAGAATACAATAAAAACTCCTTATCAATCAAATAATGCTCCCACTTTTTAAGAGTTCGAAAAACAACATAAAACCATGTGAACCATGTCACACGTGGATTATTTTAATCTAGCACCACTCAACTTTTCACTAAAAAATGTCACAGGTCTCTTCTCTTGGGATAGAACTTCACCAATTCTAACACCACAAGCATTACATTCTACCTCAAACAGTTTGTCCAAATCTAGAAGCGCCAAGTTTGGAGCATTGCTTAATGTTTCTTTGATTAAAGCAAAGCTCTTTTCTGTCTCTTCTCCCCAATCAAATTTTCTCTTCATGCATTAAGTCACGAGTGCCGTAATATTATTGAAATTTCAGATGAATCGTCGATAGAAAGTAGTTAACTCTTAAAAACTACAAACCTCACTATCTGTTTTAGGAGTTGGCCAATCTCTATTGGTCAAAACCTTCTCCTTATCAACATGTATGCCCTATGCATTAACAATAAAGCATAAAAATAGTAGTTTGTCAATCATAAAACTATACTTGTGCAAATTGACTTATAATTTTTTTCCCAGTAGCACCTTTCTCAAGTGTTCTACATGATCAATCTCAAATCTACTATAAATCAAGTTATTATCAAAATAAACACCACAAAAAAGGACATAAGACCCGATCATCACCTTCATGAAAGTGCTCGGTGCGTTAGACAACCCAAAAGACATAACCAACCAATCATTACAATCCCTCATTTGTCTTGAAAGTTGTTTTCCATACATCACCTGGCCAAATCTAAATTTGATGTTAATCACTCCTCAAGTCAATCTTTGTAAAGATTGATGCCCTATGTAATTGATTAAGCATGCATCTAACTGAGGAATTGAAAATTTGTATCCCATGATTATTTTGTTGATAACGCGATTGTCCACAAACATGCGCCAATTGCCATCCTTATTTGAGTCAATAATCCTGGAATTGCACAAGGACTTAGACTATCCTAGATTTATCCCTTTCTCAACAACTTTTTTACCTTCTCTTTCAATAGCTTACCCTCATTAGGACTCATTTGATAATGTGGCAGATTTGAAAGGCTAGGTCTCGACATCAAATCAATCTGATGTTGAGTGTTTCTCATTGATGGCAATCTGTAATGTAGGATCTCCTCAAACTTAGCAAGTAAAGGCTTAATTGCATTGAGAATGTCTGCTCTTTTCTGTTTTGCTTGTTCATCATTAATGTTTTCACAACCAATGCATGAATTTGCCTAGTTTCTTGTACCTTTGCTTGTATCTCAAGTTCTAAACTAGTTATTATAAGGAAAAGCCCTCACCTCTAATTTAGAGGTTTTAGGATTGGATTCTTTCTTCAAAGGTATAAGAGTATAATTCATGCTATTCTTTCTAATCTTGTACAAATTATCTCTGCCCAAGTGTTTAATATTCACAACATATTGTAGAGGCCTATCGAAGATCAAACTACATGCATCCTTATCTATAATATCATAATACATCTCATCCTATATTTCTCAATGGAAAATGGTAATCTACATTGTTGGTTTACCCTTGTCTCTCCTATTGACTTAATCCACCAAATCTTGTAAGGTTTAGGATGAGGTTCTAGTGGTAATTTTAATTTTAATTTATCAACAGTATGTGTACCAATAATATTTTCACAACTTCCATTATCGATAATTAAGTCAAACAAGTTTTTATTTATGGTGTAACAAGTACGAAATAACCTATTTTAGTGTGAATCCTCAACAATTGTTGGTGTTAGCAGCATCTTCCTAACCACATAGTTTTGTCTCTCATTATCGTCATATCACTTATACAAATTTTCTCTGTAACCCCTATTAGGTTCACATAGATCGCCCTTTTCATTGGAGGGTTGTGGCTTATACTATCCTTTGATCAAATTGACTGATTTTTGTCTTCTATAATTGTTGAAATGATGTCCTGGTTCTCCACATTTAAAGCATTTGACAATCATTGGCCTAGCTTAGGGGTTATTCGGTTTGTTTGTTTCAACTTGTTTTCTCTAAGTCTTGTCAAGTCTAGTAGTATCGAGTCTCATTGGAGTTGGCCTTGGTGGTTGTACTGCCTTTCCTTTATCAGCAACTCCGAATCTACTTGTGTCATTATACGATGTTTTTAGAAGTATTGCCTATCAAATCTATCACTGCTACTAGCCCTGTTTTTTATTAGCATCTTAGCTTTTAATGCCATACTCCTTGCCTCATAAAGCATAAATAAGATTTGTACTCTGATATCTTGGATTGATGGTTTTAACTGTCAGGAATCTTGTAACCTACTAATTCTCTGACAGATTTATTACCTTGTGAACAATCCTAATATTGTTAAAACAAATATTGCTCATAGTCCATAATCAGAAGGAAGGAATCTCTCATGCAACAACTGCCTCATGTACGCCCATGATGCAATATGTTGTCCCCCTTCTCTTAACCATGTATCTGTCTGATGTTTCCACCAAGAACAAGCTCCACCTGTAAGTTATATACGATTAGTTTTATCATCTTCTCTTCTTAGAAACCTGAGTACTCCTTACCCCTATTATATTCAACTATCCAATCAATAATTTTTTTTAAAATAAACTAGACATCTATATTTAGTTTGAAAATTTTTTATGAGAAAGGATTTCTAATAAAATTAAAATCCTTTATAGAAAAGAATTTCTAATAAAAACTTATTTAATTAATAGAATTCATCTGGCATTAGGATTTCTAAATACTAATTAAAAATAAATAATTAAAATATAAAATTAACTAGAAAAATAACTAAAACAACAACTTCAAGCTTCATATTAGATGCTTTTAGGTTTTTTCATGGACTTCAGGTTTGGTCTGGTTTATCGGGTTCATATATATATATTTGTAATACGCACTACATCATATATGATAACCAAGGAAGTAGAAACTGGCAATTAAAAGAAGATAGTTAAATTTATAACATGATTGCTGATAGGAAACTGAAGGATAGCTCTAAGCAATGCTACGTAGTTTATATTTATATTCTGTATATTCTTAACCCAAGCAATCAAGGGGTCTAGAACTGGCTTTGTTGCTGATTGAACTGGAATTAGATCCTAATCAGTCTTTCCTTTGCCTCATTTTATTTGACAGGGTGTTCATGACATATTCGAAGGTTCACCTGATCGGTTATGGGGCCCTGAGGAACCCAGAATGAACAAGATTGTGTTCATAGGGAAGAACTTGGATGCTCAGGAATTAAAGAAAGGCTTTAAAGCCTGTTTACTGTAAAATTTAAAACAATTAAGATATTTACTTAATATATCTTCATCTTGTATTCTTGATGAGCGAACCATAATGTACACAATTGTTTTGACTTTCATTGGGCAATAATATCAATAAATATTCAAGTAAAAAGATCATTGAAAAGGGATGGCTGAGCTGCTTTTAATGGCGGGGGCAGTGGGATTTCTTCCATTGAATTCCCAGGGGAGAATCAAGTTGATTACACTGGACTCTTGAGCTTTCTCGTGTGACGTTTATTTCATTGTTGTTCCTGGGGGCCCTTGTTAATTTTTTTAGCTCATATTCATTACAAAACACATTAAAGTGGAGGCAAGCTGTTAGTGGGAGGCAGGATTTACTTCCTGTTGTTTGATAATAGTATGAATTTGCATATTTTAGGCTGTCTTCCTCTCTGCTTTGTTATATATATATATATATAGATTGGATGGAAAGTTGGCTTTGAAAATGTATCTAACATCGAATAAAAATTAGTGTTAGGCCGACTTTTGCTAGGATGATGTTGGGGAAAACAGGCAAGCTTGTTCTAGAGAAAAATGATGGGGAAGAACCGGCCTATCCTAGATTTAGATTAGGATTTATGGTGGATAAAACCAGCTCTAAGATAATCTAAAGAAGGATAAGAGTAGCCTTGACCAGCATCTAAACACCCAACCCTTTTGAAGAGGGGTATAAATGCAAGGGAAAGAGAGAGAGTGACCCTTTCTCTTTCCAAAAAACAGTCAGCTAACAGCCTTGGTTGCAACAACTTCTGTTTCCAAAACAGAACCAAGACAGTTTGCATGCAAGCCTTTTTGACTGTTGAGTGAGAAGAGGAAGAAAGGAGAGAGAACCATGAAAGGAAAGTGAGCTGGAAAGGTCAGCTGCTGCAGCAGAGAAGGAAGAGGAGGAGACCGAAAGGAAGAACAATCATTAAACCTACACTAAGACTGTACAGAAACGTAAGGCAAGACCAACACCATTTCCTTGGCTGGGTATTACCCTAAATTTCAAACAAAAAGGAATGGAAAAAACTCTAGAATGAGAGTTTAAGACCCTTATATTTTGACTCAAGATTTAGTAAACTAAGAGTGATGAACTTAAGTGGAATGATGGACAAATGAAGACGTGCAGATTCTTAACAAAGAAATGAATGAGCGTGTGTGATTTTGAATGTAAAAAACTAAGGGCGGGCCCGGCCAAAAGGAAGGGATGGATGGAATGGGGATTGAAATGAAAAGATACATGGATTATAACCTTATTGAACTCCTATGGACATGTAAAAGCTAAAATAGAATCTAAATTGATGTTATGTCTTAATTCTCACAAAGGTTTGATGAATTTGTATGGGATATGAAATGAAATGATGAAAATGCTTGAACTGTGGTCTTGTTGGACTCGTAAGGACATCTTTATGCTGGAACCAAAATTATATTGATGTTCATGCTTTGATTTTATTATGAGATTAATCAACTAGTATGAATATGGTTTAAGTGAATGAGAATATGGTTGCAACATGATTGTTGTGATTATACTTGCGTGTTAATGATATAAATTCTGCATATATGATGGATTAAGTTATGTGAAAATATATTGGATTGATACTAAGTGCAAAATTGTATTGTTAGAAAGCCTTAGAATCATGCTAGAGCTAAAATGAAAATTACATCATAATCTAATACTTTGGTTTTATTGTATATACATGTTTGTGACTCATGGGAATGGTAATATATTTAAAAATATTATTATGAATATATTTGTGATAAAATATTACAAAATTACATGTACAAACTAGGGAGTAATGGGCAACAAGGTTTCGACCAAGGGGGAGAGGAAATGAACCATGAAGTAAATTATACATGATGACAATAATTAGAATGACATGAGATGAACTGGAAATAAAACACTAGTATGTTGAATAATTGTATTAGTTGTGTAGGTGAATTACCATGATATAATTAGAAATATAGAAATGTAAAATTTGTAACAATGCTAGGTGCTGGTTTTGGAAGTAATGAATCGGGAGAAACCTTGATATATTTACATTGAGGATGTTGTTTTTGTATTATTTGATAATGTATGATGAACGGAGTGTGATTGAGGATTTTCTATGTCCGAATGGGCTGGATACCTGTAGGGGAGAAGGCATAAGCATAAAATTTACGTGTAGTATAGGGAAAAGGCAAAACCAAAAATGACTCACCTTGTCGTTGATAATTTCTAAATCGATAGTGACTTAATCTGTGTTAATGATTTTTAGGTTGGCAATGACTTAGTTTTTGTCAGTAATTTTTAAGTCAATAGTAGCCTAGTGTGCTGACGATTTCAATGTTAGCTGTAAAACTAGGTTGTGTTGATGATTTCTAAGTTGACAACTGATTATTATTTAAAAGTGTATTTTTATCAAGGTTTTATATCATCATTTTGCAATTGAAGTATCAATAACTCCTTAACTAAACATGTTTTATAATAACAAGTTTGATACCATAAAACACTTTTAATTTATGGTAAATGTTTATCTTAAATACAAGTCTATCATATAAATCAAAAGATTGATTGATGAGTATAAGTACTGAAATTGAAAGGACAAAGAGAGGGCCAAACTTAAAAAAGAGATGCTAGTTCAACATCCAAATTGGAACACTGTTTCATTATTGGGTCATATCTGGAGTTGTGAATATTGGATTTAGGTCTGCTCTATATGGATGAAAAGCTAATACATAAGCCTAAAATATTTATGAGAAGGCAAGACTCAATTCCGTTGTTTGGAAGTCCAAATCTTAGTAACAATGGAGAAATCCAAATTTTTCCTACAGTCCAAACACTGTTTAGTGTTCAACCCATATCTTGAGTTCTAGAAGTTCAAATGACCTCAATTTTTTTTGTTGAAAATCTGAGACAATTTTCTAGAACTTTTATGATTAAATCTGTCTAAATTCTGATATTAGCAATGATGTTTTGTTCAAATAAGAGGATAAAGATTGTCACCAAGTCAAGATGTGGCTACCCACTCAACAATTAGTCAACAAATCAATTGTTTTTAATTTTAGCTTATAAAAAGAGGCATTTTTCATGGATTTAGGCACCTTAGTTTTCAAATAAAGATCATGTTCTTGCTCTCTCTCTTTAT